AGTTGGGTTTAATTAAAAATCCGAACTTTATCTGCCCTTAATGGGAACGGAAAAATTATATTTTCTCAAAAATGAATGCATTTTTCTGGTTAATTATCAAAAAATCACATCATCAAAAATTAGTTTTCGTGAAAAAATCTGCTTCCAATATTGCACAAAAAAGCGATCGAAGTTTCAACTTTGACCTCGGGTTTCTCGAAAACTATTGATCAGAGAAACTTTCGAAGCCCACCAATAGATTCAGTTTTCATGTATTCATAAACTGACAGAGTTTAAATACGATAGAAATCGATCTCTACCCTTTTTCACCCATTTTTCTTTCAGTGTTTGTGTCAATTAGTGCATAAATGATTCAATTGTGTTGACTGTGTCTTTTTGATGTCAAACAAGCTCAGTGTTTCAATTAAATATCCCATCGAGATGAAATTTCAAATGGAAACGATGATCAACTGATGCATTGCTTTCAAAGTAGATCAAGGTTAATAAGTGAAAGTTTCAATCGACAGTTAAGAACCGAATCAATTACTTTGAGATTGATCAAAAATTGACAAAAACGGGTAAAAATGAATTCCGAGCAAATTTAAACTCTGTTAGTTTAGGAGGACATAAAAACTGAGTCTTATTGTGCGATTTAAAAGTTTCTTTGATCAATAGTTTTAGAGAAAATCGAGTTCGCAATTAAAACTTCGATCGCGTTTTGTGCAATATCGGAAGCAGATCCCTTCGAGAAACACATCCAACTGAATTAACCTTTAATTTCAAACCGGAAAATTCACTTTGTTAAATGAAATAAAACTCTGAATTTCTGTAAAACAGGTCAGTTCGATTTTCAGATAAACCGGCCTCTTTCTTTGACCATAAAAGTTAGAGAACTGAAAGTTAGTATTGGTTCATAAAAATTGTTTCTACACATCAAGGATCAAATACTTTTTTCGATCTATCAACTGTTCTCTTGTTTTTGGCCTTTGGATTAAAAACTTTGAGTGTCGATAGGTCGAAAATGGCATCACCTACAATCATGATTTTTTGACTAATCGTTAGATTTCACCATGGACAATAATATAGTATGACTGAATAGCGAATAAATCTAAGTCAATTCATTTAAACATGAATATCCTTCTAGCACATAAGATTTGTGCTTCATTAACCATTTACTTTTGTTAATCGTTTTCAAATCTGGTAACACAAGTAATACAATGTTATAACTTATTTTGTAGAATCTTGAATTATTTAATATTCCGCTATATTATAATGCATCATAAAATCTAATGTTTGCTCAAAGAAGAATCATTTTAAGTGCTATCTTTCTCGAAATATCGAGGCTCCAAGTTTTTAAAATAATGGCCAAAATCAAAAGAATTGTTGATAGATCGAAAAAAGTATTTGGTGCACGATGTGTACAAACGATTTTTGTGTACCAATAATTACATTCAGTGCTTTAACTTTTATGGTCACAGAATGCAGTCGGTTTAAGCGAAAACCGCACTTATCTGCTTTAAAGGAAATGGAAACTTATATTTCTTAAAATAAATGCATTTTCTGGTTAATCATCAAAATTTACATCAGCGAAATCAGTTTCATGAAACAATCTACTTTAATTATTGTACAAAAAGCATTCGAAGTTTCGATTTGACCTCGATTTTCTCGAAAAGACATGGGCATTTCCTCCAGTGCGACGAGGGCAGCA